CGATTCCGTCGTTGACCGAGCTATACACGTTTGTTTTGTGGATTTCTACGAAACTTCACCTCCTCCAATTCAGAACACATATCCTCTAGTGGAGCGAGAATCTCTCGAATCTGATATCCAGCTTGCTTCACAGTACCCTTCAAGTACCGCTGGATATGTCGAGTATTTTAGCCCGTATTCAAGGGTGTACCTCAAGTACTTAAGTACTCTTCTCAAAGCATTCCAGTGCTCATGACTGGGGTTGCTCGTAAATCTGCTCAACTTATTCACTGGATAGGCCAAGTCTGGTCGTGTACAATTCGTCAAGTACATCAGACTCCCTATTATCCGTGAATATTCCAACTGAGCCACTGGTTGACCTTTATTGACTACCAGATTTATACTGAGATCAAGGGGTGTCTTACACATATACCTAGACTGTGCACCGTCATAGGTATCAAATTTCTTGAGAACTTTCTCTACATAATAAGATTGTGACAAGACAATTCCATCTTGGGTTCTGATAATCCTTATTCCAAAAATAACATCAGCCAAACCCATATCTTTCACGTCGAAATTTCTTTTCAACATTCTTTTTGTATCCATGATCACTTCATGGCTACTCCTCATGATCAACATATCGTCTACATATACACATACAATTACAAATGTATTTGATGTACCCTTGACATAAACACATTTGTCACATTCGTTGATTTTGAAATAATTTGATAACATCACGTCATCAAATTTCAAATGCCATTGTTTTGGAGCTTGTTTCAGTCCGTACAAGGATTTGATCAATCTACACACCTTTATCTCTTGTCCAGGTGCAACAAACCCTTCAGGTTGTTCCATGTATATTTCTTCTTCCAATTCACCATTCAAAAATGCTGTCTTGACATCCATTTGGTGAATCTCAAGATTGTGCAAAGCAGCAATCGAGAGAAGCACTCTTATCGACGCTAAACGCGTAACAGGTGAATAGGTATCAAAGAAATCATACCCTTCTTTTTGTTTAAAGCCTTTGACCACCAACCGTGCTTTAAATTTATCAATCGATCCATCAGCTTTATATTGCTTCTTTAGGACCCACTTACATCCTAAAGGTTTACAACCATCAGGGAGATCAATCAACTCCCAAGTATGGTTCTGTATAATGGACTCGATTTGGCTATTTACAGCTTCTTCCAAGAGTGGTCCATCTGGGCTGGACAGAGCTTCCTTAAGGGAATTCGGTTCATCGTCCAACATGTACGTAATATAATCAGGTCCAAACGTTTTAGCCGTTTTTACCCTTTTACTACGTCTCGGTTCTTCATTAGTACCCTCTGGTACAGAACCACTAGCAGTTTCATACGTTCGTTTATTAGAACTAGATTCTGCCTTTTCCTTCATAGGAAAAACATTCTCAAAGAATATAGCATTCCTTGACTCAATCGTGGTACCAATAGATATCTCTGGATTTTTTGATTTATGAACCAGAAATCTATACGCTGTACTATTGTACGCATATCCAATAAATACACAATCGACTGTCTTTGGTCCGATTCTTACTTGTTTAGGTTCAGGTACTGAAACCTTAGCCAAACACCCCCACACTTTCAGGTATTTATAAGACGACTTACGATTTTTCCACATTTCGTAAGGAGTCTCATTTTTCCCTTTAGGTGGTATTTTGTTCAGGATGTGATTTGCTGTTAAAACAGCTTCCCCCCACATGTTCTGTGGTAATCCTGAATTTATCAACATGACATTTATCATTTCTTTTAACGTACGGTTCTTGCGTTCAGCAACACCGTTCGACTGTGGAGAATAAGGGGCCGTCGTTTGATGAATTATGTCATATTCAGAACATATTTGTTCAAAAGGAGATACATACTCCCCACCCCTATCACTTCGGATTATTTTAATCTTTTTGCCAAGTTGATTTTCAACTTCGGTCTTATATATCTTAAATGCTTCCACAGCCTCATCTTTGCTTCTTAACAAATATAAGTAGCAAAACCTTGCACAATCATCGATAAAAGTTACAAAATACTTTTTACTGGTTCTTGTTTGCACACTTTTCATATCGCATACATCAGTATGGATTAAGCCTAATGGTTCAGTACTTCTTTCCACCGAGTGAAAAGGCAACTTAGCCATTTTTGCTTCAATACAAATTTCACATTTTGTATTTTTATCAACTTTAGAATTAGGAATTAATTCTAATTTCATCAACCGTTTAATCGCATTTAGATTTACATGTCCCAATCTAATATGCCATACATCAGAGCACTCAACGGTATAAACAGAAATAGGCTTTTTATTATCAACGGTTACACGGCTCACGGCCAATACATTCATTTTGAACAATCCATTGTCGAGATAATCACGACCAAGAAATATTTCGTTCTTGCTAAGAATAAAGTTCTTAGCTTCAAACACCAGCCTAAATCCATGCTCAAAAAGAAGTGATCCGGAGACCAAATTCTTGCGGATGTCTGGGACATGCAGAACATCCTTTAGCTTCAACTGCTTTCCAGAAGTGAGCTTCAGCACCACCGTGCCCACTCCAGCCACATCAGACGTGGAGGAGTTTCCCATGTGAAGTTTCCGACCCGTAGCAGGAGTGTATTCAGAGAACACCTCCTTGTCGGAACAAACATGACGAGTGGCACCAGTATCGATGTACCACTCCCTCGGGTTATCCACCAAATTGGCTTCAAACACCACCGCCGACATATCAAAGTCGGTCAATTCACCCGGCACAAGGCCGTGTTCAGCAACAAGGGCACTCGATATACCTTTCCTTGGCCCAGCCTTCTTAAAGTCAAGCCCGTTGAATTTTTCAGACTTTTCAGCTGTAGGCACATGGACAGCAGGTATATGATTGACTGGATGTTGATGTTGAGAACCTTCTCCGTTGTATGCCATCAGTTCAGTAGGTTGACTAATATTTTTCTTGCGATTGTTGGATATTTTGGTATAAAATACACGGGAATCCTACGAACTGATATTTATTTTTCAGTTCTTACAAATAATCTATAAATAGAAAATTACAATCGAACAGAAAAATAAATTACAACTGAAAATAAAATTATAACGGAAAGAATTTAGCCGAGGCGAGTAAAACTCTTTCCGCAAGAAGAATACGCCTCGTGTGGCAGCTAACGGTTCAGGCGTAATATCCCCAAAGATACAACGGCAAACGTCTTTAAATCTGTAGCACACCAGATTTACGAGCTCCGGCGAACTTTAACGGAGTCGAGAATTGAGCACTAAAAATAAAAAGATATATCATAAAACAAATAAAAATATTATTTGTTTTTTTCTCTTTTGATATTTTTATGTCCGGTAATTAGACATAAATCTATCTTTTCTATCCCTTTTATTTTCTCTCACTTTTTCTCTTTTCTCTTTCCTCTGCCGGTTTTTTTTTTCCACTTCTTCTTTCTTCTCTACATTTCTTCTCCTCCCAAAACACACATTTATATACACATGAGAGTGGTTACAATATGAGTTGACTTAATAACAAATTAGTGTAGAAGTTGGAATATTTGTTCAAAAGATGCTTGAAGTAGGTTAGGAGAGAAATTATTGGCAATAATTCTACATAATTAATCGTACACTCAATAATAACATAAATATGGAGTTTAGGGGTCCTATTCAAGTAGGACTCTTTTAGATTTTCTAATAGCACTTTTAAAAATGGATACATTTGTGGATTTTATACAACTTTTTAATGACTTTTAGGGATTTTGTGAGATTGTTGTTAAGATTTAGACTTTCAATGTAAACTAGTATTTGACCTTGTGTATTTGCACATATATAAATATAGTATTATAAGTTATTTGTATTAGGGTTGAGCGTGGTTCTGTACGGTTCGGAGATTGATAAATCTCCGGAACCCTACCAAAGTTTGGAGATCCCAAAATTCGATCTCCGGAACCGTACCAAAAAGTCGATTCGATTCAGTTCAGAGGTTTTTATTTTTCGGTTCGTTCGGTTCAGTATTCGGGACTTCGGGACGGTACGGTTCGATATGGTTTGGTTCGGATCTTCGGAGATTTCATATTTTTTTAGATTTTTTTTAATGACTACCTAGTTATATTTTAATTTTTATATTCTTTAAAAAAAACAACATTCATCAATAATTCATCATATTGAAGATTTTATTTTGAAATCAATTTTAGAAGTAACTCTAAATTTTAGTTATTTAATTTTTATATGCTTTAACAAAACCAACATTCATCAATACTTCATCATATTAAAAATTTTATTTTGAAATCAACTTTAGAAGTAACTCTAAGTTTTAGTTAAGACTATATTTGTGCAACTAACATTGAAAATCTAAAATTCAAACAAAATATAATATTTTTTTCTAAAAAAATATTCTTTAACCTTTCATATTATTTTAAATAATTATTTTATAATAGGAAACATTCAATTGTTGAAGGTTAATGGTTATTATTACTATATTATAAAAGATCAAAGGTGACATAA